TCTTTTACCTAAGTCTCGCGTATATCCTAGTACCAACGATCCTCATACTGTGCAAATATCGGAATCGCGACATCTAACGTCGACAGGTTGCCTGTTGCCTCCTAAGTCATCCGGGACTGTTGCAGCGATCATAGTTTTCATCCTATTCAGTGTTGGCGTGAGATGCACCGGGGCTTGAGGGATAATGGTGTCCAGCAGCAACTGCATTCTGCTGTGGTGTGAGGAAAACGTTGGTGTTATCGACGATGGTCTGGTCAATACGCTGTTGGACATTACGCCCACGATTGGCCAAGTCTCTGCGTCGACGCTCCTCGTCCTCTCACTGTCGGCGGTCTTCATCTTCCTTGAGCTAGTGCTCTTGTTCTTCTCGTTCTAGCCTAAGCCATTCTTCTTCCGCTAGTCGGGCTACCTTCTGTGCTTCCGTCTCATTGTCGGCCATGAACACTCCAAAATAAAGGGGTGTGTAGTCGTCGTCGAAGTCGTCATAGTAGCCGTCGTAGCAGGAGAAGTTGTCGAAGTCGAAGTGGTCGTCGAAATCACCATAGTTGATGTGTTCTATATTCGTGGCCAAGTCACAGTCAGACTCGCTGATGTACTCGGCGATCTCGGTCGATGAACACGAATTGAGTGGCTGAAGGATGACGCCGACTTCCCTGAAGCTAGATCTAATCTGAGCCGAGGCTAGATCGGACCGAGTCCTACGGGGGAGAGCGCTCTTGATCGAAACACCATGGCAAGATCATCGGGAAGTCGCATGGTGATCTCCGGGTATGCTGGCGTGTCTCCCACGAAGCTTGGTGAAGGAGTTGAAGTCTTGATGCTTTCGCCTGGGTGGTTTGTGGTCAACTCGGCAGAAAACGTATTGGAGTAGATCTTGGCCGAGTTCGGGAGACCGAACGGAGCCGAGTCGTCGTCTCCTCCTGACTGGTTCGAATTCGAGTCGAGAAGAGATATCTTGCCGAAGTTGTCGGTGATGAAGTCGAGGCTGCTGAAGCGGTACGCCTGGCCAGGAGGTAAGGCAAGGTCGTCAATGCCTGATGTAGATCCCATCGCACTAGTCGGCGAAAAAATTGACGCTACCCCTACCTGGCGTGCCAACTGTCGAAACTAGATTTCGGCAATAATAAAAGGGGTTGCGTACAAGCTAAGAAAGTGGATGGGTTAGATGGCAAAAAGGGTTTATACAGGTTCAGGCCTTCTCAATAAGAAGTAATACCCTACTCCTATCCGGCGAGATGTTTCACCGTGTTTGTATTGATGGAAAATATGATTGTGTATGATGTTCTATCTACTCTAAGGGGACGTCCCGACCCCCCTTTATATAGGTAGAGGAGCTCGGATCACAATATGGAACTCTATCCCTTACGGTCTAGAACTCCCTGTAGCCGTAACCGACTGGGACTACAGACATTACCTTGATACACAAGTATACATAATACCCGAATCCTTATCTATACGTATTCCATATACGTAAACTATCCCCTATAATAGTCGGATAGCATTGCCATGTGGATATACGGTAGTCATAATCTCCACGATAACCTTTCGGAAGACCGAGAACCCTTATCCACATCAGAGATTATGGATACCGTATATCCATATGGCTATGCTATCCGACTGGTATAGGGGATAGTTCATATGGATAGAATATATATAGATAAGGACTCGGGTATTATGTTAACTTTTATATCATGTCCCGTAGTCCTAGTCAGTTATGATTATAGAGTATCTATAGAGCTTTGCCTCCTAACCCATCCACTTTATAGCTTATTCGTTACCCTTTTTATATTGCCAAAATTTCGACTACCAGTTAAGTACAAGATAAATCACCTGCTATATCCTATACAAAAGAATGTTTAACATGAGAGACGCCTGCGTCGTTTTCAATCGCAGAAGAAGCCTGGCCGATATGTCCATGGGCGGAGCTTTATGAAGAAAGGCTAACAAGACACGCCGTCTTGAATAATTATCCTAATCTAACACAAGGTTTTGGTTGGCTGATCGGTACTAATAAAGAGTCCCAGGCTACCGGTACCAATATTCTCACAAGAACGGTGCTCCCTCTATCCTTAAAATATAAAAGCGAATTTTTTCTAAAATAACTATCGTAAGTTTTCGACGGGTTTATAAAATATAATGGTTAAGATATGAAATGAGAATCATTATATCGATTATATGTTTTCATTGTTTTGTTATTTGACGTGGTACATGTTAATCTCTCATTTTTAAATAAACGACAACTTTAACTTTTATCATTATTACTCTTGGATGGTAACACCAACTAGGACTAAAGATTCTCGGCTCCCTAGCCCCTGATAACCCTCTGACAAGGCAGAGACTCTATAAGAGGGTAAACCAAGACTAAAGGTCATCTAGTCCCGTTGGAGTTTTAAACCGGGACTAAAAATGTTTTTTTTAGTCCCGGTTACTATTGGAACCAGGGCTAATATATTTTTTTACCAACCCAGCAAAGATGATTTCTCCAGTAGTGTAAAGGGAACAAAAGTTTTATACTTCCATTTACGATGTAAGACATCACCAACATATTGATTTTTGGGTTTCCTAAACTGAAAATAGGAAGTGAAAAAACTTATCCCTCCAAGACATAGCCTAAATTCAATAAAAAAAAACTAAAACTGGACCCTTCTGTTAAACTACCAACGAAAATTTTTGTTTTTTTTCCTTCCACGCTCGCAGAAAGAGATCGCGATCATCCGCGCGCTCCCTACATAAATTTTCTCCGCTTACACAGAAAGAGAGGAGAAGCATGGGGAAGGAGGAGAGACGCATGAACAAGAGATTGGGAGTCGCTCTCTCGCCCTCGAATCCACAAAACGAAATATAAAACTAGTGCAGGACTTTAGAGGATCTGTTTGATCTGTTTTTTTTACAAAAACCCTAAAAATTAGTTTTGGGAAGGAAATAGGATGATAAGCTGTTGGTAATGCTCTAATACACTTCAGGAAGGCACCTTTTTACCGTTTGCAAATACTTTGTAAAAAAACCGGAGGAAAAATACTCTCATCTATAAACTAAACTTAATTAATTTTAAAATAATTTGACTTAGTATAAAACTAAAACTGTTTATATTTCACAATGAAGGGGATAAGCTATGTAATTTTTCAAGTCTTAATTTGTTGTCAACAAATTCAGGTCATGTGTTTAATTTTTCCTTTTTTCCTCTTACAAATCATCGTTTTGTACATTTTCGTAATCCTAAGAATAATAATTAAGTTCACTATAAATTCAGTGAGATATTTTATCGTAATGGGAAGATGAACTGTTTTGTTAGACCACTCGTCACATTTTTAGTATCTATACCTATATATATATATATACCTAATTAAAAAAACACAAGGTTTCCGTAAAATATTTCATCCGTCTTTTTTCTTTGTCGTGGTCTTTCCTTTTATTTTTTCCCTTTTTTCTCCCTTTTTTCCCTTTTTTTCCTTTTCTTCCGTCCTTTTTTTCTATATTTCATCCACCTTTTTTCTTTGCTGCGGTTTTTCCTTTTATTTTTTCCCTTTTTTTCTCTCGTTTTTCCTTTTTTTCCTTTTCTTCTGTCTATTTTGTATGCTTTTTTTCAGCTGTTTATTTTTTTCCGTTAGTCCATTCTTTTCGCTGTTTTTTCCGTCCACTTTTTTTCGGCTTTTTTTCGTCCGCCTTTTGTCTTCGCCTTTTTTGGTTTTTTTTCCATCAGCCGGGATTTACCCTTTTTTTCGGTTTTGTTTTTTTTTCATCGCTATTCTTTTACGCTGTATTTTTTCGCACGCCGAAGGATATGCGTACACGGTGTTTGTTTTTTTATGTGCCATGTTTTTTTTTGCCGCCCGACCAAACCATGCGTTCATCGATTCCCCACTACCCCTCCTCATTTTTCCTATGATTTGCTCCGATTTTGATAAAAACAGAAAGAGGAGATCGAGTATATCAAAAGCCCTAAAGATCGCCCTAAAGATCGAGAATCGGATTCACTCCGATTTTGATAAAAATCAAAAGAGGAGATCGAGTGTATCAAAAGCCCTAAAGATCGAGAATTGCTTCGATTTTGATAAAAACAGAAAGAGAAGATCGATTTTGATAAAAACAGAAAGAGGAGATGGAGTGTATCAAAAGCTTCGAGTGTATCAAAAGCCCTAAAGATGGAGAATCGCTCCGATTTTAATAGAAACATAAAGAGAAGATCGATAAATGGATTTGAGAGGAGATCGAGTGTATCAAAAGCCCTATAGATCGAGAATGGCATCGTATGGACACGAAAGATTCAGTGAGCTATGCGAGATTTAGTCAGCTATGCGAGGGATTTGATGTACAGTTAGCTATGCAAGCTGGACCTACGGCTCCATTCGTGGGTTTTGGGTTTGGTGAAAGAGCAGAGGAAGGTACTACCTCCGTCCCAAAATATAACTTTTGACCGTCCTAAAATATAACTTTTGGCTATGAATCTGGACATATACCTAGAAAATGCTTATATTTTAAGAAGTAGTGGGCTGGGACTGGACATACAGTTGTCCAGATTCATACCTAGAAAATGCTTATATTTTAAGAAGTAGTGGGCTAGGACTGGACATACAGTTGTCCAGATTCATACCTAGAAAATGCTTATATTTTAAGAAGTAGTGGGCTGAGACGAATGAGCTTCTGGTGCTTATATGGGCTAGGACTGAAAAAGAAGGGAAAGAATAACTTTTGGCCGTCCTAAAACATAACTTTTGGCTATGAATCTGGACATATGACATATGCTTATATTTTAAGAAGTAGTGGGCTGGGACTGAAAAGGAAGGAAATAATATATTTTAAGAAGTAGCGGGCTGGGACTGAAAAGGAAGGAAAGAATGAGCTGAAGTAGTGGGCTGGGACTGAAAAGGAAGGAAAGAATGAGCTTTTGGTGCTTATATTTTAGTGGACTAGGACTGAAAAGAAAGGGAAGAATAAGCTTTTGGTCCAAAATAAAAGAGTAAAATGTATAGCAATCTAAAAATGTTATCAACCGTTGCAACTCATGAAATTTAATTTTTTTCTAGTATAGCTATTTATGCTTGACATAAGGGCATACCATTTGCACAACAAGCTTGATAACACAATTAGGATGAAAATACGAAGAATCCACGAGGTATCTACTCTAGAAAAACGGTTCATAAATAACAAAACTCTGACTAAAGTACACTGAGACCATCCAAATGTGAATTATCACAATTACACATCTGCATTTCTTGTTTGATGACTAGATTAAATTCGTTTTCGGGAACTTCTTAAACTAATCTACGGCCGTAGCTTGAAATCCATGCTGAATATATTCTTGGCTTTCTTCATCTTCTCCCAAGGAAAGCTGCGAAGAAAAAAAAAGGTAAAAAGAATGTTTTAACTTCATTCTGTATTATATACTTGATTTATTTTGGTTAAATTGCTAATGCGCATCAATCAGAGACTACCTTATCTTGACCTGCTGCAACTTTGTTGCTTTTGCTCGTAATGACTTCATAATACCATCTATCGCTGGTTGCCTGGTTGAACATGAAAATTCAGACAAATTCATTATTCCAATTATAAATCCATATCATATCCGTAACTCAAATAATAAATTAACAGGAACTTATAAAAATTGCCCCCAAAAAAGGTCTGATCAACATACTTTGTTTTCTCGTTATTCTCTTGTTTTTGCTGATTTGAGGTGCCACCTAATGTTTCCTGTGTAACAATTACAATGAAAAAGCTATTGGTATGAGGGAAAAAAAAGAGTTTTATAAAGCGACATGAAAGCAGAAAAAGAAAAAACCTTATGGTAGCCTCTCCCTTCCTTCTCATGTCGCAGAGACTGTATATCAGATTTAATTTGTTCAATCTCGAGTTTCAGATCACGATATTCCTTGACTAGATGTTCCTCCTTATCACCTAATTAATCAAAGAACACAAGAAGGAAAAAAAGAACGTAAAATAAATATCAAGCAGACTAAAATTATCTAATCTAGATATACAATAATTACATATGGTGGAATAAAGCATCAATAACTGCAACGAATACTCGATCATGCGTATTTGCTAGGAGCTACAGGAAACGTTTAGAGCACAGACAAATTTAACTATGTAATCATAGCGAGTGTTTGCTATAGTAGTTTTATTTTCAATCACCATAATAACCCAGGACTAAATGTCCACTGAACCTACAGATATATTCCTGAAACTGTACTTTTTTAAGAGAGAATGGTATTTTTTAAAATTAGGAACTTAGCCTATCAAACAAGGAATTTAGACTTCAAATAACCCAATCTGAACTCTTATGGAGATTTGAACTCAGATCTTTAGGTGGTACTCAGGTCACTGTAACCACTGGACTGCATGTCATTTCTGAAACTGTATTTATTTCTCTTCAAGATAAAATAGCTCAGTGAAACCAATTTATTCTAGATGTACTTGTTCTTGTCGTAGTAATCATGATCAATGCAAATTAAGCATAAAATGATTAATTATATAAGCAAATTAAGTGCGCCAAGGTAAATAAGGCATGCCATATACATATTGGAGAAACTATTTAAACGATGCGATGATACTCACGTAAGCGTCCAACGGCGCTACCCAGCTCTAGCACGCTGAGGCCGAGATAATCACTCAACGCAGAGAACGGTTGCTCATACTGCTTCAAATCATCCTCTGTTAAAAGTGAAAACAATTAATTAAGTATAACAACCTTCAAATCATCCTCTGTTAAAAGTGAAAACAATTAATTAAGTATAACAAATCCATAATTAAGGAGCACACAAAGCCCAATAAATTTAGTACATGCAAACCATTCATCTCATCCTCTATTTAAATAATTCAGAACAAGTAATTAAGCTCTACAAATTCAAAATTAAGAAGAACACAAAACCCAATCAATTATTTTCGGCTACTTCACCATATAAATATAATATCCGCGAATTATTTACTCCATGCCTCTAAAAATTGATGTTTTTTAAAAAAAATTCTACAACATTGTATTATTTAAAGTTATTTCTTAAGCTTATTTTTAAAAATATTTATTTTATCTACAGAATCATCCATAGCAATAAGTATTTGAGTAATCTATTTCAAGCAATGCCCAAGGTACATGCAACCATAATAATACGTGTGGTAAATATGCTAGTGTTCAAGAATATGGTATATTAATTTGGATCTAACTACTTAATACGAGAAAATTAGTTAGAAAGTCGATAGATTAAATTGATAATCAATCTAAATTAATTAGCAAGTCGATAGATTAAATTGGTAATCAATCTAAAATTAATTAAGAAAGTCGATAGATCAAATTGGTAACGAATTAATCTACTCACGCAGGGTTTCGATCTGGTCGCGCATGTGGTCGACCTCGCCGGAGAGGGCGTGACGGTCGGCGGCGAGTCGGAGGGAGGCGAAGAGGACGGCGACCTCGACGACGCAGGCGAGGACGAGGATGCACTTGGTCGACCTGCGGACGCTGGACGCGGTCAGCTTGGATGGGCCGCCGTCGGCGCGGAAGATCCTGACCGCCAAGAAGGAGAAGGCGAGGGTGTTGGCGACGCAGAGGAGGAGGACGGCGAACAGCATCGCCAACGACGGCATCGCCGGCAACATGGCGGACGTACGTACGGCGCGCCGGCCGGCGCTAGCTTTTTAGGGCACGCGCGTAGGTACGATCGGAGAAGCCGATAGATGCTCCGTCGCCGCCTTCGCGGGTTTGGTGGGTTTAGGGTTTTGTGGATGATGACGATGATTGCTAGTGTTTATATTTATTAGTCGGGGTTGGGTGATTTAATCATCGGGGAATTTGGAAAGATCAAAGATGCGAACTTGACGCGCGGTTAGTTAGAGAAAAGATAGCGTGTACAGCTCTAGCACTACGTCTCAGCTTCCGCGGGCCCCACGGGCTCGGGGGTAGGAGTCCAACGAAGGAGACAAGTTCGCTCAAGACGAACACCCCACTTCCCTTTCTCTTTTCAACCAAAGTTTATACATATAAAACTTTATATTATATATAGAAATACTCTTGTTAACATCCAAATTTTAGCATCTAAACAAAAATAGGAAAACATGACCAGATTTAATTGGAAAAGACCCGTGCCTTTCATATATACGGGGCTAGTCCAACAGGCGGCATTAGACTAGTCCAACCAGCAGTCAGGGATGATCAGACCGGTACACCGTCGATGTCAATCACAACTTGGACGCTAGGTTTGGTCCACATCTCAATCAACGAGTTTGAGCTCTCCGCCGGAGCCGAGGTCGACGGAGCACTGTAGCGTGAGGTTCTAGCAACTCCTCTCGCCGCCTTGCCCTTTTTCTTTCTCCCCTCGCCCTTGTCTTCCTGGACGGGGTATACCTGGGTAGGAGCTGCACCAGTCCACTCTAGAGTTTCATCGCCAACAACTGACTGTGGCGGGGCATAGTGGTCGGCAAATGCGGCACAGTGGATTGGGAGGCGAAGCAGCGCGCTGACTGGGAGATGAAGCGGCATGGTAGACTAGGAGACGAGGGCTTGAGGCGATGTGTCCAGATAAGCAGAAAGGGTAGTTGGAGGAATTTAATCCTTGGGCTGGGATACCTTTGCTAGGCTTGGTCACATGCATTTGTGAGATGTGTAGCCTGAAGAGTAGCTCGCCTCAATTAAAGTCATGCAAAAGAGGTAACATGCACTGCGGAGTGAATGGCCTTAGACCGATTCCATTGCTCCTACCCTTAAAATCTTCGTCCGATGAGTCCATTCCTCACCGCTACCTCTGCCGAAATATTTAGGGGGAGAGGAGAAAAAAAATGGAAAAAATGAGCGATGACTCATGACAGAGGAGAGGACGGGTTAACGAAATCTTGAATGATAGTTCTGTCCAAGAATTTAGTGTAATTCTTCTATTTTTTTTAGATTTGTAGTATTTTCATAAGGTGAAATAATTAGTATTTTCTGACACTGATGAAAAGTTTGTATGAAAATTTTCCGAATATGGAACCTTTCTCCGGTTTCCGAACAAATTTCCTCAAAACCATTCTTTCTGTCCCGCACTCCCGCTTCCCCCCAGTCCAATCCCCCAAGAACTGATCCGCATCTCTCGCTAGATTCCTCCACCAATCATCCATGGCCACCACCAAGCCATTCCTCCTCCCTCCCCAACCCACCTCTCCGCCCGCGCGCCCAGGCCCCACCGAGCCCAAGCTAGCTCCGTCGCGTGCTCCGCCGCCGACGCCGACGACCGGTGGCTGGAACCCGCTCGCGGCGCTCGTCGAGGTGCCCGGGGCGCTGTGGCGTGTGGGGAGGCGGCGTTGGGCTCTTCATGGTCACCGGCGCGGCGCTGCTCGCGCTCGCGGTGGCGTGGATCCGTGGGTTCCAGCTGCGCTCCCGCTTCGGCAAGTACCAGGCCCCGTCTTCGAGTTCACCCAGGCCTGCGGGATCTGCGTGGGCACGCCCGTGTGGATACGTGGGGTCGCCGTCGGGAGCATCGTCCGCATCGACTCTTCCCTCCATAGCATCGATGCTTACGCTGAGGTGCATTATAAACTCTCTACTTGATTCCTTGCCACTACTAGAAAACTCATTTTCGGCGTCGTAGGGGATCGATTTTCGCAGGCGGGCATGTAATTCGGAGCCAAAACCCCGCCGGCAAAAAAAGTACCCAGGGTGGAGGGGGCGGTCTGCCTGCGAAGATTGATCTTTGCAGGCGGTCCATATAAGCGTCGCCTGCGAAGATCGATCTTCGCAAGCGGCAGATGTCGTGCGCCTGCGAAAATAGATCTTCGCAGGCGACGCTTATATGGTCCGCCTGCGAAGATCAATCTTCGCAGGCGACGCTTATATGGCCCGCCTGCAAAGATGCCCCTATATAGTCTTCTTCCTCCCCGAGCCCTGTTCATTCTCCCCGACATTTTTCTCTCCTAAAGTAACTTAAATATAGGGGAGGAGGTTTTGAACTTCAAATCTTCGTGGGATTTTTGTATGGTACTTAGATCTACTCATTTCCACACTAGGTATGCAGTTTTTTAAGCTTTTAGACCTTAATTTGTGATGGATTTATGCATCCAAAATTGTGAAGGAAGAGCTCCATGTTTTTTAATTTTATTTCTTTTCATATGTTTATGTTAGATGTATGTGTAATACTTGATGCCTCTTGTTGTAGTGGTTTAATGTGGTAACATAAATTCTCATTTTTTTTATTTTTTGCTATCATATCCACCACCTAGTTCTAGATCTAGATATAGATCTTGTCATGTATAGAGAGAGGAAAAAATTTTAAATATCTATTTATTCGGTGCAATCAAAAAATAGTTATAGTATTTTGTAATAAGCCGATGATTTGATTTTGTATATCCGTACTTGGGGATGCGGTCGATCTTGTAATTCTCTGGCACAAGAATGACATATTCTTTGGATTGGGCACCGATGCCGAGGAAAAACCTGTGTTGCCTAAACCGGGGTTGGGAAAACCTCCGAGGCCTCCTAAGAGGAAGGTGACTGATAAGGCGGATGATCTAGAGATGGATAAGGAAAATCCAGTGCCGGAAGTGCCACCGGAGATCGCATTGCCGGAGGCAGCCATGGAGATTGCATCGCCGGAGACAGCCATGGAGATTCCAGTGCCGGATGTGCCCATAGAGATTACAGTGGCAGAACTAGAGGTGGAATTTGTGGCATCAGTCGGGTCAGACAAAGAAGAAGTACCAGGATTGGAATGGGACGGTACAGAGCCAGAGATATTTGAAGACCCTTCTCCTACGAAAGAACCCGAGGTGCCACGAGTGCTTAGGAGCCACGACTCCAAGTCCAAAGATGCGAACAAGGAGAAGTTCATGCTAACCGTCTTCAGAGGGGGTAAGGAACGTGCCAAGCTCAGAGATGACGACCCCCAGAAGGCTTCTGAGCTAGCCGGGCCAACATACTTCGCAACCGATGATTGCCTGGAAAAGTACGAACATGGGAAAACACTCTTGCCGGAATGGGCACTGAAAGAAGCACCATGGGAGATGAGAAGGTTGCATAACTTCCATATGGAGGCCAGCAAGAAAGGCTTGGGTAATATAACAGCTCGATCACCGGCAGATTGTTTCGGCGAAAAAGGTTACGTATGGCTAGATTTCTCAGATCTCCACGCCATATATCGTCGGGATAAGATGGACGTCAACTATGTCGGTGTTTGGTGCATGTGAGTATGAGTTTTAATTAATTAGATGAAAAATATGTACAATACAAATCCATGTGATTATTACTAACAAACTTCTTCTGTAGGATGCAATACATGGATGCTAACAAGAAAAAAGAACCCATCGGCTTCTTGGATCCAACTCGGATCTGCCAAACACAGCATATCGTTACGCTAGCACCAGGGTCAGACCAGCTGAAGGGCAAGAATCTGAAAGAGATAGCAGAATACAAGAAGGGCTTGCACAAGGAGAAATTGATTACTGTCGCACAGTACATTGGACGAGCCTTCTTGCACTTTCAAAATAAGAGAGTCGTCATGGCCGCTTATAATTTTAAGTAAGTCCGGTACATTTATCTTGTACACATATGTCTTATTTTAGCTGTTACTAACTAATTATAATGTTGTTAATATGTAGCGATCATTATATCTGTTTACTCATCCACCCTAAAGACGGAACCGTGGTAGTCTTGGATCCTCTCGATTACAATCACAAGCAATACAAAGAATTTCTAACAATCTTACAGTAGTAAGTTATTATGACTCTTGCATTTGTATATGAATGTATTACAAATAAATATCCTCCTTACTCTGAAATGGTATGACATCCATACAGTGCATACCAATACTACAAGTTCAAGAGTGAAGAACAGACCCGAACACGGGAGAAGCTGCTATTACGTACCTATTGGCCGGTAATACTCCACTCACTTTATGTATTCCAATAGTTTCACTAATTGCAAATTATAACTACTTTTTTCTATGATATGTCCTGCAGTGTCACAAGCAACCGCAAGGAACGGTCCTTTGCGGATATTATGCGTGCGAATTCCTTATTAACGCGGAGGATGTAAGTCTTTATACTATGTATTAGACAGCTCTTGATATTTATGATACTAATATATTGATTAATTTCAATGCATGCAGTTGCCAAGATTAGAATGTCGAACAAGCTTTGACGATACAGGTATCACAAATGTGCAGCGTGATCTGTGCCACTTCATCCACCATGAGTGCTCTCATGTCAAAGGAGATTTCTTCGACCCAGAGGGTGCCCTAGCGGCAAGTGACGAATTCAAGGATCTTTGGGAGTAGAACACTGCTATGCCATAATATAACTAAATGACGTTATTTGAAGTGACAATGTAAAACAATATTGTAATATATATATTTTGGCAACACTTTTGATTTATGCAATATAAGTAGATTTCTCAGTACCAAATGCTTGATAATCTTCCAATATATGTACCTGCAAGAATTTCTAATAAATAATTTAAAAGTAATTTACGGCCAAATTATAATTAAATTTCAATATTTTCTACCTATCTTCGCAGGCGGAAGTTTTTTTTTTGCAAGCGGACGATTCCTATTTTCGCAGGCGGACCGGACTAGCCAATGTCCACCTGCGAAAATTATCTTCGCAGGCGGATGGCCGCCCCGCCTGCGAAGACCCTTTTCGACCGCTTGCGATAATGCTTTTCCTAGTAGTGTGCTCTGCTTTGATTAATTCATTTGCTGCATTCTTTGATCGAAGCTGTAGGTAGACAAGATTACGTCTGATACCAATTTGTTCTGGGCTGAATTCATTGGTTGAGGTGAACCAGTCTGGTCTTGTAATGGAGACAATGATTGATATTACACCAAAAGATCCACTCCCAACACCTTCGGTTGGCCCACTTGACCCAGACTGTTCTAGAGAAGGCTTAGTTCTCTGTGACAAAGAGAGGATCAAAGGACAACAGGGAGTAAGCTTAGATGCAATGGTTGGAATTCTTACCCGTCTAGGAAGAGACATGGAGCAAATTGGTGTTGATAAAAGCTTTAAGTTTGGCTGAAAAGGTTGCATCTATAATGGAAGGAGCACAACCTCTCCTTTCACAGGTACAGTTTTCTTACCAATTCTTTAATAAGTTATCTTGTTGGGGAAGTTTTTTGATATATCTCTTATATTTACCTGATCAAATATCTGTGCAACCAATGCATTTTTACTCAATATGGTTCAAATTCATTTTTCCAATAAGAAGTTCCCTCAATCATGTTTGGAAGTGCAATTTTGTTTTAGTTAATACGCTCTAGACATTAATAAGAAATGCTACTCTGGTAAATTTTATAATTGGGGCCTAATTCTACATTACCTGACAGTTTACAGAAGATATCAATTTCATGCATGTTAAATTGTCAATGCATGGATCATGTCATCTTCTCATTATTAATTCCAAACTAGCAGCTCACCTATGCATTGCAATAGGAAATTATTTTCATTATGCTGGAGCAAAATAACATACTTACTTGTCCACGGAGAAATATTTGGCAACGGGATTTCATTTGTACAACCGGGAAAAAAAATATATCAAAGATCCATCTACTCCATGTTTCAGAATATGCCCTTGCACTAGATAAGCCTCATCAATACGTGGACGAGCGGCTAAGATAAAAGCAATTTGGTCGCTAACGACCCCTAGCCCTTTTGCTATCCGAGTAATCATAGAAGTGCACTCAACAGGAGCAGAGAACTTTATACTCTCTAACTATTGCCTTATCATACATTTTACAGGAGCAATTTTGATTTTTCTAACCATGGCAAACGGGATCCCAGCCGATACAGCAGGATCATATCGGCTGTGATATTGTCCAGTAGGTTTAAAACGGATTTTAGCCGATACCATGAAAATAGCCGATAGGACAGTGTTTAGGGACAGAAAAGATAATGTGTCAGTTAATACTTTGGAACAAACTTATATAAACAGATTGATCTATATGAACGTATCAAACAGTAACCAAGCATGAAAGCACAATGATTTAGCTGATACTAGATAAAACTTGATACATTTATATAGAACTATCTATCAATATAAGTGGTGAATATACATGAGACAGGTAAAGAAACATGCATATTAGGTAAAATCGGCTGAAACTCCGATACTATCCTTATTATGATTAAGTGCAGGCTAGTTTCTAGGGTTCAGGCTAGTTTCTAGGGTTCAAAACAGGACTAGAGATGATGCATCGCAAAGTGTGTAAAGAAACCTAAAGTCTAAACAATCAAGCAATTAAACACTTTTCAGGATGGTAGATGCCTTAGCTAATCTAATTTAGTAAGACGATTTAGCCGATACCCGCATTAACCCTAAAGCGAGTAGCAGCTAATAAAGCTAAATCGTGATACTAAGACTAGATTAACTAAGACAAATGATAACGGTGACTATGATAACGAGATTAATATGTCTAAAACGACATAGTAGCCCCGATAGCATAAGCCATCGAGACGAGTTACCTCTTGCGAAGAACTCGCCAAAAAAGAAGAAAAGTAAAAGGGTGGCGATGCGCCGAAGTTGTATTGGATTGTCTCCCTCATTACAGTGCTATGGGGTTCATATTTATACCCCGAGTATAAAATCGAGTCCATTATGGACACGACTCAAACCTTTCTAAAAATAAAATACAAACAAGACCATATACGGTGGTCTCTTGCCAAATCTATAACAAACCGACCTGATATCCTAATTAATAGATGCAATTGCCATCGGCCTATCAGCCGATCGGTTGTCGATCAACTAACTCTATTTTCATGTTTCTTGTTGGTTGCAGGATCAAACTAGCTAGCACGCCCTACAAGCGCACTAGGCAGGCCTTGACTTGCACTGGAGCTAAGCAGATCTCCCGAGTTGCCGTGTTTTTCTAGGAACACCTTGGTACATGAAAACGAGCTTGTTGGCACGACCACTAATCTGAACATCACGATCATATAACCAAGGTCTTCCGAGTAGCAACTGACATGCTTGCATTGGCACAACATCACACTCAACATGGTCTTCATACTTGCCAACGGAGAAATGAACCGTCACAATAGTTTTCACCCGGAGTGCACCACAATTATTCAACCGCTACATCTTGTATGGGGTTGGGTGACGTCGTTGTTTCAAGTCTAATCTTTTTACCAACTCCAAACTAGCAATGTTGTTGCAGCTGCCACTAACAAAAATAATACGGCAAACAGTACTATTGATGATATCATCAGTGTGAAAAATATTGTCGCTGACCATGTTCTTCCTTTGCAACTTGCACACTAAGCACGCGATGAGAAATGAAACAATTATTGTCACCATTATCATTATCCACTTGCTCATTAATCAACACTTCTTCACGTAAACTGTCATCCCTTCGTCTCACTTGCAGATTCCCATTCACCCGTCTCATTCACAAGCATGGTCCTCCTACTAGGACACTCGGCAGCAATGTGGCCACGACCTTGGCATTTGTGACACACAATATCACGGCTACGGGACGAAGATGATGCTATAGGTGCAGCAGGCCAATGAGAATTTGTGCATGCAGCTGGAGATGTTGCCGAAGATGGTTGTGGCTTGGCTGTAACAGCAGGTGGAGAGGCTCGTGTGGAGGCTCCCTAAGAACAAGCGCCAACAAAAGTAGTGGTTTGCTGCATGCGATGCCATGGAGCTGCATTGGAGCGGCCACTAGAGGACTGATTACGCCATTCTTGCCGAATGGACCTTTCCGTGCGCCGAGCTTGATCGAGAAGATCTTGCAAAGTGTTGTATGGAAACATCTCCACAAAATCAGAAATTTCAGCATTGAGACCATGCAAAAATCTTGTCATTTTCGACTCATCATCTTCTCTAATTTGAGCACGGATCAAGAGCAACTCCATTTCTTTGTAATACTCATCCACTGTACGAGTCCCTTGACTCAACACTTGTAGCCGATTGTGAAGGTCACACCTATAACGTGAAGGCACAAAACATCTTCTCATAACACGCTTCATTTCATCCCATGTTTCAATAGGATCACGACCCAGCACATGCTGACTTTCTTGCATTTGATTCCACAAAGTGAAAGCATAACCAGAGAACTCCACTGAAGCAAGCTTTACTCTCCTTTGAGATGAAAGATTATGCACTCTAAAAATTTGATCACACTGTTCTTCCCAATCAAGATAAGCATCCGGGTCTTCCTTTCAAGTAAACTTGGGAACACTCAACTTTACCCGAGCAACATTGTCTGGGTCATCACGATCATGGCGACCATGATGATGTCCTGCATTGCCAAGGACAGCACCTCGGTGAGGACGGGCATGCCGCTGCCCCAAATCATGCTTTGCGAAAAAAAAACATCATTATCACCATATTCCTCCACATGGTGATGACCATGGGGCTCAAAACGACCGTCAAAGTGCGCACGGGGGCCAAGGCCTCGCCCGCGAGCACCTCCTCCTCGTGCTCTAGCAGCTACAAAACCATGACCTCCACCATTAGGCGGGCCATGGAGCTCAGAATTAGCAACATCATCCGCCGAATGTGCATCCACAATTTCATCCCTGGGATCAACAAACGGTGGCTGAACCACTCCACTTCCGGCAGCCGGAAGTCGTGCATTCAACAAACGTTCCATCCCTTGAAGAAGATTATTCCCTATTTGCTGCACCTCAGCCTGTGTGACAGGACTATCGGGCTTGTCATGATTTTCACCATGGACACTCGATTGAGAATCTGCCATGTTAGCTCTAAAAAAAATATAGTGGAATAGGTAAATTTATGGAATCACACAATCTCACCTCTTACTCACCAATGTTATGCAATCTCAAGGACTGTGAGAGCGTGCAAAATGTGGCAGTACTCAAGTGTGATTTTGTGACTGAAAGAATGCGAATCGAACAAGGAAGGCTATAGTACTGATACAAAGTGACGTAAACCATGCAAAGAATGATGTGAACGCTGTTGTCCAAAGCACCAAAGGATAGAAAAGCGATTACCACAGCACCACCCAAAACATACAACTTTCTTGTGTCAAAATATTCCTCGCTTTCTTTTTTATATATATTTTTTCACTTCTTCTTGACTCTTTTTTTTTATAACTTTCTTTTTTTTCGGTTCTCGCTCTTTTTTTTTTCAACACGAGCTAGCAAACATGAAACAAAAGGGTGGGTGGGCGGGAAAAAAATGATGGTGCAAGATAACAAGAGGAACTAACAACATGATGGAAATGAAAGACATGGTATATCAGTACTACCAAAGGCTTGGTATTTTTGTAGGGATTTTTCTGGACTATTGCAAAGAAGCAAAATCAACAAGAACACATGAACATCTAATGATACGTGGATGATGAACATACTGTGTCAACGAAGCTCTGATACCATATGATGCGAACATACTCGCGAGGGGTGGCCCAATCTTCACGGCAGTAGGTTTGAAGCAAAAGAGCACCAGCGCAAACCGTACTCAAGAGGATAACAAGCTACGAGCAGCAAGTGGATAACTAGCTTTATACCTAGCAAGGTCGGATGTGACCAAGTGGTGAGGGCGAAAATGATCCGAAGCCTCCTGGACTCCGACCCGTCACACCGAGCAATCACAGAACCATAATCTGGAATAACTAGCTTTTTACCTGCCAAGATTGGATACCACTTCCGGAATAACTAGCTTTATACCAGCCAAGGTTGGATGCGACCACTTCCGGAATAACTAGCTTGCGACCACTTCCGGAATAACTGCTTGATACCTGCCAAGGTTGAATGCGACCAAGTGGTGAGGGTGAGAACGATCCGAGGCCTCCTGTACTCCGACCTGTCAAACCGACCATCAAACCGAGCAATCACAGAACCACAATCCAGGATTAATCCACACAGGAGGCCTGAGAGCCAAAAGCACGAACTAGGGGGCACCAGAGGAGCCTTCTAACAAGTCTAAAAGAACTCACAAGAACAAAGGGGTAAGACACTTATGCATACATGAGGTTTTCAATTGAATAAAAGTTCTCTAATGGAAGGAATAGAGGGGTATTTTTATTAGGAACATCCCTCCTAGCTTAGGTGTGAACATAAGAAGCCACGTTCTGGTGGTCAAGGCTAACATAAATGAGAAGGCAAAGTGTTTTTCTCGGGTTCGCGCATAGCCCTTCAGCTCCTGCGCAGCCTTCAGTAAAAATGCTATAACTTCTTATTGGATAAAGATATTGAGGTGGGATTTGATGCGTTGGAAACTAGACTTGTCCCTCTTTCCTGCCCAGCCTTCATTAAAAATGCTATAACTTCTTATTGGATAAAGATATTGAGGTAGGATTTGATGCGTTGGAAACTAGACTTGTCCCTCTTTCCAACAATGTATGCCATGCAATCCGTCACTTGATTGGCTAGGTCGCACAAGCCTTGGAAGTTGAGTCTTTACAACGTAAACCATCTTCTTGTTAGCATAGACAGCTGCTGGTTGGGCATGGGTTGATTCCTCCTCGGCATAACCCTTGTCGTCCTCAACGTAACTCATCCTTCTTGACGTAGTGATGATATCCTCAGGTGTAAACCTTAGCAATACAAGGATAAAGCATTTAGGTAGTATAAAATTCTCACTAAAATTTGGGTTAAGATGAGTAAATAGTGAGTTCACCTCTTGATGTATTTTCCTAGCACGGTTGCACGTAATTAGACCAAGATATGTTTGATCGTTCATGCTGAGACATAATCCATTAACTTGGTTTACATCAAGTGTAGCTGGGATGTCCTCATGAGTGTATAGATAGCACCAAATAAATCTAGCATCAAGTCTCCAATCAGAAACAAAGAGAAATGATGTTTCACTTACATCACGCAATCTATTGCGAGGAAGCATGCGCATGACAGCTTTGCGAATTACTTCAGTTGGGTCTTTTTCCATGTGGTCCTTGAGTCTTCATTCCTTCAAATGGCCAATATGCCTATTTGAAAAAGCACACAAACAGGCAATTGTAAATAATAAAACCAAAAGGTATTCAACAGTATTAGCTAGAAATATACTAGTAGATCTTATCGGTCATTTTTCTTCCTGCAACACTGATATCTTTTGCATTAAGCACAACGCACATGTCTCTATTTTCCACATGTGGTGCATAAGTTGGCTTGTCCTTGCCCTGAAGCACAACAGCTATTTGGGACGCCAACTGTCCAAGGACCTATCACACAAACAAAGGCTTGGTAAAAAACCATTACCCATGAATATTTGCTTAACAACAGGAACCAGCAGAAAAATAGTAACCTGGCCCTTTGCGTCAAATACACGCCATCTCAATCCATCTAAATTGATTCTTCTCAAGCCTGCAAGTGCTTTCTGCTCAGTTCAAACAACAGCACTATTAGTACCATTACTTCAAATTTAGTAGGTTGAAGCTCAAAAATATTATTAATGTAATTCCAAACTAAGAGACTGAAACAATAGGGTAGATGTAGAACAGGATTCATATTGGATAGCTATCTAGATATTTCAATTATAGACTCCATTCTTTTCAAGGGTAAACAATGTATAGAGCTTACTTCGCTCAGTGCAAATATGAACACAGATAAGCTGCTCGCTGCAATACTGAAATAATCAGAAAAACTTAATTTTTGACCATTCAATCAGCATGTCACTGCAGATTCTGTATGCCCTATAATTTTTTGGGGTATTATGAGGAATCATTGGCAGGATGAATACACTAGCAGGATCACAATTCAGAGCAAAGGCATATACATTAACTGTTGTATAATTGTATACGGTGGGATCAGAGGATGAGGAAGCAGCGCCACCGGTGGCATCTGGCAGGGACTCCGGGGACGAGAGGAAGCGGGAGAGGGGGCGCGGAGGTGGTAGCGCTCTGGTTAAGGGTCAAAGTGGAGATGGCGGTGGTGGCGGCGGCGGCGGGAGAGGCCTGTGGATGGAGGGGCGAAGGAGGAGGAGAGCACGAGCTCCCGAACGCCGCCACCTCTCCTCATCATCGTCGGCGGCGGCGGCGGCTTGGTAGCTGTAACGTGTGGAGGCAGAGTCATCACTGGTCGAGTCGAGATGGGAGGCGAAAGGTTTCTTACTTGCTTTCTAGGGTTTAAGGCCTTGATGGCGCATTGGACTGGCCTGACAAGTTTTGGGCCACTATGAAACTTTTCTCTTTTTCCCCTAAACTATAGTATATTACTAACAATTGTTTTCAACATATTTTAGCCTCATTTCCATGAATCAACCTTCGTTTTCGAGATAAGTTGAATCCAAAACTTCGTAGGAATTTCCAGCATTTCCAAGGAACATATTATGATGGGAATCTTGTACAGTTGTACTGACCAACAGCAGAGGAAATCAAAGCAGATGGATTTCATTCCTAGCGACACCAGGTTTGAGTTACATACTGTGAGACACAAAAAGACACTAAGATTGAGCTGCTCATTTCCAGGTTATATGATTCTACTGTCTATTGAATCCAGCAGGCTACATGTCAAAGAAATAAAAGATACATGGATCCTTTAAAAAACAGCAACAGGTAGACTTGCAATATAGGAGTAGTAACAATCTCCACCCACACAACACACATCTGAGTGTGCATCTATGCAGTGATCTCGGATTTGGCATTCTTAGCATTTTCATCATCTTTGGTTGATGCCGCTGCTCTGTCCTGCTCTTTCTTCTGCGCCCTTAACAATGCACGTCTTGCCCGGGGACGCATCTCCTGCACTTGGCGTGGTGGCATCACAAAAGGTTCAAGAGGGCGATCATGGAATGGGTGCTCATTTCCAGAAAATATCCTCAATTTACGATCCCTGTCCTGTGATCAGAACAGTACATGCTTAATAAGCAATAACAGCGTTATATGAAGCTACTTTAACAATTCGAAGATGAGAATTGTAGGAAAATATACATTTTTGACCACACTTGATTATACCAGAGAGGAAAAAACTTGATTTCTCAGACAAAACAGAATTAAATCATATAACAAAGAAACACCATAAATATCAGTATACAATTTTCATGTTGAATATGAAACCAAGAAGAAATGGTTGGATTTTATGGTATGTTGAACTTGATATTCAATATAAACAGTTCTCATGAAAATCCCCACCACATAGAGGAATTGTAAGATATAGAAGCAGATCACTAGTTCAGCAAAGGCACTGCAGAAACCAGACCCTAAAAGCATACAGGGTACATACGAAGCAAGACCCTTCGCAAGTCACAACCATCCTTATAGTTCACGAAAAGATCCAAGTGTTTGCTAACATAAGTGTATATCTAACCCTGCAAAAAAAAAGTCTATATCATTAAACAATGAATAAAATGAACAGTAGCTTTATCACTTCACCAACGAGAAGACATACCTTCTAGTGTGAAAACTTAACTGAATTAAGACATAGAAGCACCATAGTAAAGATGTGTACAACAATAATTACAGTTACATTTCAGTTATCTTATCCATTAAGCACAACGCACATGTCTCTGTTTTCCACATGTGGTGCATAAGTTGGCTTGTCCTTGCCCTGAAGCACAACAGCTATTTGGGACGCCAACCGTCCAAGGACCTATCACACAAACAAAGGCTTGGTAAAAAACCATTACCCATGAATATTTGCTTAACAACTGGAACCACTAGAAAAATGGTAACCTGGCCCTTTGCGTCAAATACACACCATCTCAAACCATCTAAATTGATTCTTCTCAAGTCTGCAAGTGCTTTTTGCTCAGTTCAAACAACAGCACTATCAGTACCAGTACTTCAAATTTAGTAGGTTGAAACTCAAAAATCTTATTAATGTAATTCCAAACTAAGAGACCGAAACAATAGGGTAGATGTAGAACAGGATTCATATTGGCTAGCTATCTAGATATTTCAATTATAGAGTTCATTCCTTTTCAAGAAAAACAAATGTATACAGCTTACTTCGCTCAGTACAATATAAACACAGATAGGCTGCTTGCTGCAATAATGAAATAATCAGAAAAACTTAATTTTTGACCATGCAATCAGCATGTCAGTGCAGATTCTGTATGCCCTCTAATTTTTTGGGTATCATGAGGAATCATTGGCAGGATGAATACACTAGCCGAATCACAATTCATAGCAAAGGCATATAATCTACTGTTGTATAATTGTATTTGCCAGTCAATACGCCATCTTAATCCATCACACACCACTGTTTATTAGTTATTATAACTGTAGAATTTCACAACTCATGAAGTTAGCCCTCATCAAGGACTGCTGTGAATCTCTATATACTAAACCTAACTGGCCTAACTGGCTCTACCGTGAACGGATGTACTACACGTTTGCAAAAAGCTAACAGCTCGTCCACTGCCCGTGGTGTCCAACCCGCTACAAATGACCTCCTGCAGGCCATGCTATCTCTAGGATCAGACTCTCATTTCATCAGTATCAACCGCTAAACCCTAAAGGCAAGACAAACACTGAAACACGCATGTCGCTCTGGTATCTGACGGATTCAACCAGCTGCAGTATGCACATTCTCAATCCGCAGACAACCAAACAGACCCTATCTCGGAGATCACCCACTCCGACTGTGGCTACACCACACCGGTACACCACATGTGAATGAAAGCTCACGCCCACGAGGAGAACCTGATGGGCGACGGCTCCCCCTCCCACCCCCCCCCCCCCCCCGAAATCCAAAACACCACACATCCCTCACCCCACTTTGCTGGGAGCACAAACACACAAGCTCCTATTCCACAGGGCACCACGCCCACGCCGCTGCCATGGATCCAGGTTATGTTAGGTTTCAGCGCCAGCCGAAATGTGAGAAGAGGACGGCACCGCTTGCTCTACGGAGACCTCAATGCCATTGACCGGAGGTAGGTAACTGACCTTGTGGTTGCCGATGAAGGCCGACGGCGCCGAGGCCATGTCAAGCAGTCGCAGTGGACTGGTGGCCGGAGACGAGAGGGCAAGAGGCAGCGGCGGCGGGGGAAAGGAGTCCAAAGCACACGAAGGCGTCATGTGCGCGGAGAGTCTCTTGCCTCCGCTCCTAGTGCTTAGTGGGCCCCACAGGCCCATCTCATTATCTATGGGCTTGATTTGGGCCCAAGTTAGGCCTCCGTTAAATTGGTCTAGTTTCGTTTCTGATGACTCTGAGGATAAATTTAATAATTTAACTTTTTTTATGGTCAATTTACTTTAATTAACACTTATAAGCATGATACGTGGGTCTATCCGAGTGAATGAAAGTGAATCAAGATATTAAATAATCGAAGTGACGCTCGTTTAAGAAGAGTTAAATTATCAAATCTCTCTTTAAGGGGTCGTTTTTTATCTCCCTCACTTTCAAAACTTGGATGAATTTTTCACTTGCTTTTTGACAAACTAGCATGATGGCCCGCGCAGATTACGCGGCTAACGTCATTATATTTTTCCTCATATAATAGCTTAAATATTTCCATATTTTATTATTATAATATATTAAAAATAGCAACACAATTTTGAATTTTGTATTGTATTGATAGTTATTAATTATTTTCTAATTTCGAAATTTACTTATTTCTAAATTGTATTACTATATGGACTCTAGACTCTTCTCCCAATCTTGCTTATTTTTTTAAAATTTGAATTTTTGTTATTTATAAATTGTATTTCTATATGGACTCAAAATTCTACTTTTATTTTTTTAATTTTTTTTATTCTGACTTTCAGTTAGTTCTAAATTCCTATATGAACCATATATTCTTCTTCCAATATTCTTCTTTTTAATTCCGAATTTCCGTTATTATAAATTGTATTCCTATGTGAACTCTATGTTTTTTCAATATTCCTTATTTTTTAATTCCAAAATAAATTATATTCTTATATGGACTCTAGACTCTTCTCCCAATATTGCTTTTTTTTTATTTTGAATTTTAGTTATTTCTAAATTGTATTTCTATATGGACTCTAAACTCTACTTTTATCTTTTTTTCTTAATTTCATCTTTCAATTTATTCTAAATTCCTATATATGGACTCTAGACTCTTCTTGCAATATTCCTGTTTTTTTTAATTCCGAATTTCTGTTGTTTCTAATTGTATTTCTATATGGACTCTAAACTCATCTTTCAATATTTGTTTTCTACTAATTACGAATTTCAGTTTTTCTAAATTATATTCAATATGGGCTTCTTCCAATATTTATTTTTTTTAATTCCAATTTTAGTTATTTTTAAATTGTATTTCTATAGGGACTCTGACTTGTAGTTTTAGTTTTCTTTCTTTAATTCCGAATATCAATTAGTTCTAAGTTGTATACCTGTATGGACTCTAGTCTCCTCTTTCTATATTCCCTATTTTAATTCTGAATTTTTTGTTACTTTTAAATTGTATGTTTGTATGGACTCTACTTTTCTTCTTATCCCGATTAATGTGAGAATCTCTAGGCCTTGAGAGTGAACGTGGAGGTTTCTTTTTCTATTCCTTTAATAAGTTAATAGATTTGAACTGGAGGAGTAGCTTTTTACCGGAGCAGCTCTTGGCGGTGGACACGAGAATGGCGGCGAGGAGTGGCTCGTTGTAAGTCCACGACCTTGAAAGCGAGGGCGAAGGGGATCTGATCCTCGGGGGTGGACTCCACAACAGCGCAGACGCGTTCGACCAGCACCTCGTCGACCATAGCATCGGCGGCGAAGATGTCATCGGCGTCCCCGGCGTCCTCCCAGAGCGAGGCCAGGTTATCCTCCCCGGCTTCGGTGGGATCAGAGGCGAGGCTATCCTCCCCATCATCGGTGGGATCAGAAGATGTGGAAGCAGCGCCGCCGGCAGCATCCGGCAGGGGCTCCGGGGAGGAGGAGAGGAAGCGGGAGAGGGGGCGCGGAGGTGGTAGAGTCTAGTTAAGGCTCGAAGTGGAGATGGCGGCGGTGGCGGGAGAGGCCTGTGGATGGAAGACTGGAGGAGGAGGAGAGCACAAGCTCCCGAACGCCCGCCACATCTCCTCCTCGTCGGCGACAGCGGTGGCGGCGGCAGCGTGGTAGCTGTAATGTGTGGAGGCGGACGAGTCACTGGTCGAGTCGAGGTGGTGGGCGGAATGTTTCTTTCTTGCTTTCTAGGGTTTAAGGCCTTGATGGCCTATTTGGAGTGGGCCTGATAATTTTTGGGCCCCTATGAAACTTTTCTCTTTTTTTTCCCAAACGGAGCAAGAGATGAGCGTATGATTAATAAAGTATTAACTTTCCTATAACTTTTTTTCTAAACAATACACCGTTAAATAGTTTAAAAAAGCGTGAGTACGGATATATTTAGCTTAAGGAGCGCGTGAAAAACGATCGAGTAGAAGTTAGAGCGAGTAGAAGTGGGAAAGCGTAGTACTGAAGGAAGCTTTAGCCTCATTTCCACGAACATCAGCTTCATTTTCGAGATAAGTTGAATCCAAATCTTAGATGGAATTTTCAGCGTTTCCATGGAGCATATTATGGACTCTTGTACTGAACACCAGGTTTGAGTTACATACTGTAAGTAGGGATAAAAACGGAGCGGATAGTTTCCGTCCGCTCCGGACAAAAACGGATACGGATACCTTTCGGATCGGATAATTCTCGAATAGTTCGGATACGGATACGAATACGGATATTTTCTCCCGGATACGAATACGAATATGGTACCAGGGTTTCCGTCGGATACGGATAATAATTCGGATATCCGGTGAACAGTGCTATTCGGATATCCGTAGGACCCATGAGACATACCCCATTTCTTTCTAACTCTATGACCTTCAATATACCTTTATAGATTTTAATAGTAGTTTATCTCTTAACACTAGTCCATACTATTAATATATTATTTAAATTTTAAAAAATATTTATAAATTATACCTCATTTTATATAAAATGAGCTAATTATATATGCTGATATTTCTTTCCATTAGAAGTTGAGTTGGTTTTTATGTTCCGAGAAAAAATTGTATCCATATTTGTGTCCGATCATATTCGATTCTTATTCGTATTCGAGATAATCCGTATTTGTTTCCGTATTCGAGCTATCCGTATTCGTTTTCGTATCCGGTAAAAAATATGAAAACGAATATGGTATGAGCATTATCCGTCCATATCCGCTCCGTTTTCATCCCTAACTGTAAGACACAAAAAGACATTCAGATTGAGCTGCTCATTTCCAGGTTATATGATTCTACCGTCTACTGAATCCAGCAGGCTACATGTCAAAGAAATAAAAGATACATGGATCCTTTAAAAAAACATCAACAGGTAGATTTGTAGCAATCTCCACCCACACAACACAATCTGAATGCGCATCTATGCAGTGATCTCGGATTTGGCATTCTTAGCATTTTCTTCATCTTTGGTTGATGCCGCTGCTGCTCTGTCCTGCTCTTTCTTCTGCGCCCTTAACAGTGCGCGTCTTGCCCGGGGACGCATCTCGCGCACTTGGCGTCGTGGCATCATAAAAGGTTCAAGAGGGCGATCATGGAATGGGTGCTCATTTCCAGAAAATATCCTCAGTTTACGATCCCTGTCCTGTGATCAGAACAGTACATGCTTAATAAGCAAAAACAGCATTATATGAAGCTTTAACAATTTGAAGACGAGAATTGTAGGAAAATATGGATCTTTCGCCACACACCAGAGAAGAAAAGACTTGATTTCTTAGACAAAATAGAGTTAAACTATATAACAAGAAACACCACGACAGATCAGTATACAACTTTCTTATGGAACACGAACAAAAAAGAGATGATTGGATTTTACGCCTTTATGGTATGTTGAACTTGCTATTCATTGTACACAGTTCTAGTGAAAATCCCCACCACATAGAAGAATTGTAAGATATAGAAGCAGATCAATTAGTTCAGCAAGACACTGCAGAAAAACCATATCCTAGAAGTTCACAGCCATCCTTATAGTTCACGAAAAGATACAGTCATACAAGTGTTTGCTAATATACGTGTATCTCATCAAACAATGAATAAAACGAAAAGTAGCATTATAACTTGCTCATCAACGAGAAGACATACCGTCTAGTGTGAAAACATAACTGATGTTGCTACAATTAAGACAAAGAAGCACCATTGTAAAGATGCGCACAGAAATCCCTTCTTTCTATAAAATTAAGACCCAAAGCTGTCTCCTCAATTCGCCACGTTATCAACATTATATCAACCGTTAGATTAATATGTATATCACATATACACCATTGGATCCCCGGACCATTGAATAGCCCAGTCCCCTCCCCACTCACGTCATGCGTGCCTGGTCACCTTCTTCATTAGGTGATGCATGCAAAAGCGAAACCGACGCATGCTTTGAAGAGCCTGTGATCAGTTTGTCTTTGATATACGTTGGGAATCCTACATTCATTAGCAGCAACTCAGAGCTTCTCTAGCTATTTGATCCTCACCTCTCATCAATTGATGGTGCATCTGTTCGAGAGCTCCAAATAGCTAATTCGTCTTCTGAAAATCAGAGGATCGCTCCATGAGTTCTATCGCCTGTTGTCGTTATTCTTTCGCAAGCAGCCAATTCTTTTCTTTTCTTTTCTCATTCTTCTTTGTTTATGTTGATGACAGGCAGCGCAGCTGGCTCAAGTGATTGATCTTCTTCTATCTACCTGGCTGCTTCTCTTCTCTAATGAGGAGGTTATGTTATCTCCTCTATTTTTTTTATCTTCAAGTTGCAAATTTCATTTGCTTTTCCCTTATGAGAATTCAGTTCATTATCTTAAAAAACGAGAATTCAGTTGTTCATTCCCTATTAAGTAGGTTTTTCTTTTCAAAAGTTTGGAGTCCGTAATATTCCCCCTTTTTTTTTACATTTTATCCACCGTAATACCGTTAACTCATTTTAATATGGTACAATGATGTAATTGCATCAAATGATTTGGTCAAGTACAAAACAAAAGGGCCACGAATTGCCATTTGCAGTGATGCGCTGGAATTCAATTACCCCGATCCAAAACTTACTCACCTACTTATTGATCTCAGTTTTTTTAACTAAACTCCATCTGGTAAGTTTATATTGATATTGTTCTCCTTTACTTATATTTAGCTACGAATTGGTTTCTCCTTTCTTTCTAAAATTATCCACCAAACATAATATTTTTACTTTAGTTCACTAAAAATGTAAAAAATATAAAAGCTTTGTTAGGGGAAAAAACCAGCTGTCTGTTGGCCAATATAAGTGTACGGTGCTGTAGTACGAGGTATAACTGATCCATACACATATATTCCATAATATCCCGTAGCAACACACGGGGTATCATCTAGTAATTAGTATTGCTGTGTTACATTTAAGACAACTAAGCAGTGCATAGATAGCACCAAATAAATTTAGCATCATATTTCCAAGCAGAAACAAAGAGAAATGAAGTTTCACTTACATCACGCAATCTATTGCGAGGAAGCATGCGCATGACAGCTTTGCGAATTGCTTCAGTTGGGTCTTTTTCCATCTGGTCCTTGAGTCTTCTTTCCTTCAAATGGCCAATATACCTATTTGAAAAAACACATAAGACACAATTGTAAATAATAAAACCAAAAGGTATTCAACAGTATTAGCTAGAAACATACAAACCCTGTGTGCCAGTAGTAGATTTTATCGGTCATTTTTCTTCCTGTAACACTGATATCTTTTGCATTAAGCACAACGCACATGTCTCCATTTTCCACATGTGGTGCATAAGTTGGCTTATCCTTTCCCTGAAGCACAACAGCTATTTGGGATGCCAACCGTCCAAGGACCTATCGCACAAACAAAGTAGCTTGGTCAAAACATTTCCCATGAACATTAGCTTAACCATTGGAACCAGCAGAAGAATGGTAACCTGGCCCTTTGCGTCAAATACACGCCATCTCAATCCATCTAAATTGATTCTTCTCAAACCTGCAAGTGCTTTCTGCACAGTTCAAATGATAGAAGTGTCAGTGCTGGTGCTTCACATGTAGTAGACTAGTGCATTCACGTTCAAAAATTGTATTAATGCAATTCCAAACTAAGGGACCAAAATTATAGGCGTGTAGAAATGGATTTATATTGAAAAAAGTATATAAAGCTTCCTTCACTCAATGCAATATGAACACAGAGAACATGGTTTTATCCAATAATTATATAAAAATTGCTTGCTGCATTAATGAAACAATCAGAGGAACTTGAATGTGCACTATTCCATCAGCATGTCACAGCAGATTATGTATGCCTAATACTTTTGGGGGGTATTATGAGGAATCATTGGCAGGATGAATGCACTAGCAGAATCACAATTCATAGCAAAGGCAAATCAAAATATATGCCTACTAATCTGGGCCTTATGGCCTTTCCTTTAAAAAATATATATATATCATCAATACACGATCTTAATACATCAGCACACCTTTGTTTATTACAAAGTACAACTCTTGAATTTCACATGAAATTCACGAAGTTAGTTAACATCAAGGACTGCTGGGAATCACTCTATACTGAACCTAACTGGCTCTACCGTGAACATATGCCAGAAGCCAACAGCTCGTCCACTAAGCGCGGTATCCCACCGCTAGAACAGACCTCCCGCTGGCCATGCTATATCTAGGATCAATCACTCCTTTCGTTAGTATCCACTGCTAAAGGCAAAGCAGCACACATCTCGCTCTGGTACCTGACGGATTCAACCAGCTGCACTACGAACACTCTCAATTAGCAGACACCCAAACAGACCCCCGCCTCAGCGATCACTCACCTCCCCTGCGGCTACACCAACACCAACACCCACCTGTGAATGAGAGCTCATGTCCACGAGGAGAACCTGATGGGCGACGGCTTACCAGTCCCTAAAACATCACACATCCCTTCACACCATCCGGTGCTTCGCGGAGAGAGCACGCCAGCACAACCTCCTACGCCACCGGGCAACTGCGCTCACGTCGCCGCTGTCAATCCAGGTTACATTAGGTCTCAACGCCAGGCGAAACGTGAGAGGAAGACAAATGCGGTTCACTCTACGGAGACCTCGATACCATCTATCAGAGAGGAGTTAATTGACCTTGAGGTTGCCAGTGAAGGCCGGCGGCGCCATAGCCATGTCGATCCCCCGCGGTGGACTGGTGGCCGGAGATGAGAGGGGAAGAGGTGGCGGCGGCGGCAATGGCGGGGGAAAGGAGCAATGCATCGTCCGAAGCAAACGAAGGCGTCGTGTGCGCTAGCCTCTTGCCTCTGCTCCTAGTGCTTAGTGGGCCCCTCAGGCCCATCTCATTATCTATGGGCCTGATTTCAGCCCAAGTTAGGCCTCCGTTAGATTGGGCTAGTTTCGTTTCTGACGACTCTAGAGAAATTTGATAATTTAACAGTTTTTTTGGATATCAATTTACTTTAATTAGCACTTATAAGCATGATATGTGTTAATTTACTCTTTCTGGCCCATAGGTTCCACGTATCATGCTTATAACTGTTAATTAAAGTAAATTGAAAAATGTTAAATTATCATATTTCTCCAGAGTCGTCAGAAACAAAACTAGCCCAATAAAATCAGGCCCATAGATAATGAGATGGGCCTGAGGGGCCCACTAAGCACTAGGAGTGGAGGCAAGAGGCTCGCGCACACAACACCTTCGTCTACTTCAAACGATGCATCGCTCCTTTCCCCTGCCGTTACCGCCGCCTCTTCCCCTCTCGTCTCTAGCCACCAGTCTACCGCCGCTGCTCGACATGGCTGTGGCTCCGCCGGCCTTCACTGGCAACCTCAAGGTCAGTTACCTACTCTCCAGTCGATGGCATCGAGGTCTCCGTAGAGCGAGTGGTGTCGTTCTCTCACATTTCGGTTGGCGCTGAAACCTAACGTAACCTAGATCCATGGCAGCGGCGTGGGCGTGGTGCCCCGTGGAATAGGAGCTTGTGCGTGTGTGCTCTCCGCAAAGCACCAGGAGGGGTGAGGGATGTGTGGTGTTTTGGGTTTCAGGGGAGCCATCACCCATGAGGTTCTCGTGGGCGTGAGCTTTTGTTCACAGGTGGTGTCCCAGTGTTGGTGTAGCAGCAGCCGGAGTGGGTGATCGCCGAGATGGGGTCTGTTTGGTTGTCTGTTGATTGAGAGTGTGCATATTGCAGCTGGTTGAAACCGTCAGATACCAGAGCGACATGCGTATTTGTCTTGCCTTTAGGCTCTAGCAGATGAAATGAGAGTCTAATCCTAGAGATAGTATGGCATGTAGGTGGTCATTTGTAGCATGGCGTGCAGGAGGTCATTTGTAGCGGGTGGGATACCACGGGCAGTGGACGAGCTGTTGGCTTTTCACAAACGTGTAGTACATCCGTTCACGGTAGAGCCAGTTAGGCCAGTTAAGTTCGGTATAGAGAGATTCACAGCAGTCCTTGATGTGGACTAACTTCATGAGTTGTGAAATTCTACAGTTGTAATACCTAATAAACAGTGGCGTGCTGATGGATTAAGATGGCGTATTGACGATGGAATACAATTATACAATAGTAGATGTATATGCCTTTGCTATGAATTGGGATTTTGCTAGTGTATTCATCCTGCCAATGATTCCTCATAATACCCCAAAAAATATAGGGCATACAAAATCTGTAGTGGCATGCTGATTGAATGGTCAAAACTTAAGTTATTCTGATTATTTCATTCAAGCTGCTTATCTGTGTTCATATTGCACTGAGCAAAGTATGCTGTATACATTTGTTTCCCCTTGAAAAGGAATGGAGTCTATAATTGAAATATCTAGATAGCTATCCAATATGAATCCTGTTCTACATCTAGCCTATTGTTTCTGTCTCTTAGTTTGGAATTACATTAATAAGATTTTTGAGCTTCAACCTACTAAATTTGAAGTACTGGTACTGATAGTGCTATTGTTTGAACTGAGCAAAAAGCACTTGCAGGCTAGCAAACATGTGAACTAGACTTAAATTTGAGAACTTCCTAAACGCATATCAAAACACTGAAATTTTATCAAGTAGTCAGTTAGGATAGCAAATGTATTGCAGCAACTAGACGACTGAACCATCTAAAATCCAATATCCAGAAACCTCAATCTCTCATGCGTAGGAGTATAACTGATAGAACTAGACAAGCATATGAGATTTGTACTGGTTGTAGCAACTAGATAGTGTTTGTGACAACTAGTGTACTACCAGTACTGGGATGTGGCAACCCACCTAAATGGATCTACTGAACAAAACAATCAAGATGGATGGCACGAACTACTGCAAAATGCTACATCAAAGAGAAGAGATGCTAGCAACCATCATAAATGGGAAGCACGATGACCGAAATGGCACAATACATCATCGTTCAAGCAGGAAATCTACATGACGCCATAGATCCCTACCGGATCGAAATGTATCCCAAGAACCCAGCATCATATCCATCACCACAAAGGCAAATAGCCTCGCAGCCGCACTACTAATCACCCACTGAGCTACCACCACATATAACCCCCACAAACCAAACCGCGAGGCAGCGAATCAAGAACGAAACAGCACAGCACGCAGCGACCGATGCGAGCACGGGCCGTAACGAGGTAGAGAGGATGGAGAGTGAGAGGATCTTACCATGTCGCTCGCCTGCTGTGGTTGCTCCGCTGCGGTGGCGGCGGCGGCGACGGTGGAGGAGCGATGAGAGGAGAGAGGTGGGAGAGAAGAAAGGGTAGGGTTTATAGCGGCGGCGCATCGGGCGGACGGAAGGGCGCGAGAGGTGGATCGAACGGCTGAGATCGGCTCGAGGGGTTGCTCTCCGCGGCTTGATGGGCCTCAGTCTGGGGGGGAGGGGGGGGAAGGAAAAAGTACACCGGAGGTCCCTCAACTTGTCATCGAGTTACAAAATCATCCCTAAACACAAAACCAGAAATCAGGCGTCACTTAACTAATCGAAACGGGACACAATATATCCTTCAGTGGTATTGACCCAATTTTATCCTACGTGGCACTGAGTCAGCGTGGGACCCACATGTCGGGATGCCACGTCATCCTCTCCCTTCCTCCTCTCTCTTCTCTTCTCTTCTCTTCTCTTCTCTAGGCAACCGGCCGGCGGCTGGGGAGGAGGAGGGCGGCACCGCGACGGCGGCCGCAGTGGGGGAAGCTGCCGCCGGCGACGCCGTCGCCGGACGCGTCGAGGCGGTCCGTGGACAGCCGCACCGTGCCGGAACTCACCACGCTGCCGCCGATACGTGAGCGGTCGCTCCCGCATATACCACTGATATGAATCCGCCTGCTCCGCTCGCCGGTGTCCACGGGGAGATCGGAGCCTGCAAAGCAAGCAACCGCCGCCGGCGACGACGACGACGTTGACGGCGACGAGGAGACGATGAGCTACCAGAAAGTGCCGCCTCCTCAGGATGGCTACTCTCCTCCAGGCAATTCCCCCTTCCCTCCTCCCCCGGATCCATCCCTCGTCGTGTTCGTCTCGTCTGGTGCTCGCCAGACCGGGAAGATCAGACGGCCGCGGTAGGGTCTTTCTTGATCTCAACTTGTTCAGGATCCCCATTCTGTTCTGGGTTGATTTGGATGAGAAAATTGCATATCTACCATCGTATAAAACTGGCTTCGCTAGAATACTATCACTCAAATGGGCTTCGCTGGAATACCATCTTCAACTGAGTGTAGTTTGATACTTTGCCATTTTCATCACTTTTAGTAAATGAAAAAGATTTTGCTCTCTTTTTAGATTTATTGTGCCCAAATTGCCCTCGGGCTTTTTTTTTCCTCCTCTCTCAATTCAACCTTTTTTTCCTCCTCTCCATGCTTGAGAGGTCGTCACCGGCGTGCCAATCGCCGGCGGAGGCGAGGCGTCGAGGTGAGGTCGTCGTCGGTCGGTGAGTCGGGGTGGGCCGGCGGAGCTCGAGGCCGAGATGACGCGAGCAACGGCGATGCGGGATGGCGGCCGATACGATGCCCCTGGGCCGATACGATGCGGGATGGCTGTGCCCGCCGTACCGCCTCTCCCACAACTGCGCGCGTGGGGACGTCGTGCTCGCCGTGTGCAGGCTAGGACTCGCGCGGCTCGAGGACTACCGCGTGCTCCTCGACGCCGGCGGGTCCGAGCCACTCGCGGGCGGCCACGAGCACCGCGGGCTCCTCCGCGCCGCCGTGTGGCTGCTCGACCGAGAGGGCACCGCGATCCGGCGGATGGTGGCAGAGGTCGGGCTGGCGGGGTGCAGGCTCGTGTTCGTCGGCCACTCGCTCGGCGCGTGGGTCGGCGAGGAGAGGCGGCGCGGCGGCTAGCTCGGCACCGGTCGGCGACACCGGCGTCGCCGCTTCACCTCTTCTGAAGCAAAACAAGTTGAACTAGGGGCATAACAGTCTACGAAAATGTGTAATCGCCGAAAAATAATTTTCAAATGCAAGAAACCATGAAAATGGCATTGCAGCGAATACCCATGGTTTGGGAGTGGTATTCCAGCGAAGCCCATTTGAGCGATGGTAGTCTAGCGAAGCCAATTTTATGCGATGGTAGATATGCAATTTTCTCGATTTGGATGCGTGTCCGAAATCTGAATCTGTGACGGCGCAGCATCGGGTGTCGCCGGATTCCTGCACGATGATCTGATCGATTCTTAGGGTCGTTCTTCCGTGATTTTTCTGATCGATTCTTGGGTTGTTTGTTTCTGTGCATGAGCTACTGTCCCCGCTGCTGCTCCTGTTGTTGTCCCCGATGAGCTGCTGTCCTCAGCTGATGCTCCAATTGAATTTTCTCCTTCAAATTCAGAAGGGATTTAGATCCATCTCAAACATCAACACTGTATTGCCAAAGCTTCCTATTGGACAATAGTGAAAACGGAGAGCTCATTGAGATGTACCCTGACAGATGTGGAAGCTCAGAACAATCTCCAGATGTACCAGAAGCTTTAACTTGTCTAACGGCCAACAGTGATGAGATTCAGTACCGGGCTGCTCCTGCTCACGATGTGGAAGCTCGGAACAATCTCCCCGCTGTTGCTCCAGCTCGCGATGCAGTACCGGGCGGCGGTCGGGTCTCTCGTCGCTACTCATGGCGCCTCTGGTAGGGGAGACCAGCGGCGGCGGCGGCTGGTACGACCAGCGGCGGGACGACGATCAGGTCGATGAAAGCCTTTTTGAGATGGTAGATACACTATATAATCTGAATCAATATTGGTATATAACCCTATCAGCTGTTTTCTGGCAACGAATGCTAGCCGATGAGGCCATATGGCAATGTTGGTCTAGATTATATAGTATATATGATAACTAGACGATTTACATAAACAAGATTAGAGTATCATAAAGATGGAAGCACTAATCCTGAGAACACAAACTGCCACGACAAGTGTTACCTTCTGCTGGAGATCGAAGCCGATGCAGCCCAACTCGAAAGCAAGAACTCGTCGAAATAGAAAAGAGTAAAAGGTGGCGATGCGCCGAATTTGTTATTGAACTGATTGTTATTGATTTACACGACCCCGGGTCCTTTTTATACCCAGAATTACATAAGATGTCCTTGTCGGACACGACTCCTATCTAATAAGGAAACTAACAAAATATCCTAATTAATAGATATAATTGCCTTTTCCAGAATTAATCCGCACGTGGCAATCCTCATGAAGCACACCAACCGAATCCGACAATGATCCAACCTTCTCTCTATCGGAATCGGTTACATCGGCTATCCTACTCCGATTCTGTCTCAGCCGATGTACACCATAGCCGATTCGGTTGTCAGCCGATTTGTACTCTGTTTATGTAACCGCCAGCTTCCTCCAAATCCACTGTAGTTCTATCTTCAGATCCAACACTTGATTTACCAAATTTGATCGTTAACACATGCCACCCAAGTCCGCGATATTTGAAATGTTGCGGATTTGCTCAATTCTTCTCCGAATCGATCTAGGGTTTCGTTTCCGTTTTGACCGTTACTGCCCATCTTTTTAAATAGTAACCACCACTTGAAAATCTCCACGCCGTTACTTCCGTTTTCACCGCTTTAGCCATAGCTGTTGTCGATCTTTCCGGTGACCCCCTCAAGCTCTCCGGCGACCACGCAAGCGATCTCCAATTCCAGCGGCGATCCCATCCTCAGCGATGTCAACCCCTATTGCTCCTTCAAGTGATCTGACCACCGAGTTCTCCGAGGTAACCCCATCGGTTCAATCCCATCTTTTAATACACATCGACTTCCCTTTTGTAATCTATTTCTTCTTTCTCCTCTTTTTCTCTGTAGCATCTGTTGAATCAAATTGCAGTTCCAAGCTTAGTGCATCCCAACCGATACTTTTTAGGCCCAATCGGCAATAAGGATCCCACTGAGTTCGTAAATGCCGAAACAAACATGATTCCTTTTAGGCTAACCAACCCTAGCCTTAGCCACCGGAATAGTACTTTCAAATCCTGGCCATCGGCTGTAAAGACCTGGTCTGAATGGTACAAAAGGGTATCGGCTAGTAAGCAAACACATTGGGAGGAACTAGGAATTGCCCAGTGCTTAGCCCTGACACTAGCCGATTTAGCCAAGGACGAGCCAATGCTATCGGCTGCTAGTTACTTCTGGTCCAACACCCTGAATGCCTTCCTATTTAACCAAGGACCAATGACTCCAACTCTTTTGGACATTATCATGATAACTGGCCTGGACATCAACTCATCGGCTAACCCCATCAATTTGAACAGTAAGAACCAGTTCACTTTCAAAACCAGAAGTATTGGAGGATGGAATGGATTTATTTCCTTAAACATGGGATCTGGCCCTGTCACCCCCAAGGAACACACAGCTTTTCCCCCTGATGTGGTTGGAAAAGTTTCTATTTTGTGGTCCAAGCTGTGGCCCAACCACCAACTGGCAACATATAGCCAAAGCCCTAGTTAGCAAAAGATAATTTCCATTGGGCAAATATCTCCTAGGCTATTTGTATCAGACTCTGAGCACTGCATCGGCCAAGCTTGCCACAAATTCAATAATTGGCACAGGTGGTCCTTGGTGGTTACTACAAATATGGCTAAATCTGTACACCATTAAAGTAGCAAAAAGACCTGCTCTGTCTGAAGCGATTTCCCATCTCTTGAGTCATCCAAAGATGATGAGGAAAATGAAATTACCACCAGAAAATGTATGTCCTTTGGAGAGGTAGCATCTACTTATCCTGGTTCAGAACCATCAGTTGAACCCTTCATAACCTAGTTTGGCAACTTCTATGATGGATTCCCAAGAGATTGCTGTGGATATTATGGGTACCCCATACCCATACGACATGGTTATCTGACTAGTTATAGGGGATAACTTATATTTATGTAATATGTAACAGATCATGACTTGGGTGTTACGTTTCCTTGTATATTACGGAACGGCCTAAAGTCCTGGTTTGATAATATTGTAAAGTAGATTTAGGAAACCGATACCGTATTGGTTAAGGTTTCTATCTTGTAATCCTGCCCCCCATCCTATATAAGGTGGGCAGGAGGCCCTCTAGGGGGCAGATGAGACAACTAGATCGTCAGATCTATACTACACCCGGTGGATTCAAATCCCCAAACAGGAGTAGGGTATTACCTCTCATTGAGAGGGCCTGAACCTGTCTAAATCCTTTGTCTCTGCATCCATCCACTTTTAGGTCTCGTACGCTACCCCCTTTTATTATTGCCGAATTCATGTTTCGACAGTTGGCGCGCCAGGTAGGGGTTGCGTCGAGTTTCCTATCAACGAGTGCGACGGAATCAACTTCATGAGTCGCCGACTTCGTTTTCGCTTTGGGAGTTTTC